TGATGGACTAAAATAGCCAAAAAAGTCAAATAAAAAAATTGTTCAGAATTTGATTTGATGTCTATTTATCAATTAATCATTTTGTTGACAACATTAGGTATAATAACACTGTAAGAATATACATATGGTAATATATTTTAGTAAATGGGGCTTTTTGAATTTCCTTTACAGTTACTCCATATGTAATTTTTTTTTTAAAAATCATCATCTTTTTTTAAAACTCAATGTGTGTTGACACTATTAGGTATAACATATTTTGCTTGAATTTTTATTAGTTGAAGGGGGCGGCAAAATAAATGGTGTCTAGAGTACCAATAATACACCTTAACACGGTCCTGAGTTAACTGTTGTAGAACTATAAGTACCCATATAAAGATATAGGTACTTATAGTTCACGTACTTAACATACACTTTGTAATAGAAATATATATATATATATATATATATATATATATATATATATATATATAAAAAACATTAGGACGCCTACAATAACAACGAAACCTTCGAAACAAAACAATAAAAAATCTATTAATTTTAGATCTAAAATACCTATAACGACACATTTTAATGTGATTTTTCGATTCGAGACTTTCATAAAACATTTTATGTCAAAACATTAAAAAGGGGAAAAAAGAACTAGAAACAAACTACGGTATAAACTTTAACTTATACGGTCATCAAAGGAAAAAATAGCCTTGTTTTATAAGGTCCTTAAATTCCAGTTCCATCAATCTTGAATTTAGGCCTATAAACTTAGTTTATGATGTGCAATAAAGGGTCAAAAAGTGAGTTGCTTTTAAGTCTTTTAAAGTTTTGTTAATAGTTTTTAGGACATTAACAAACGTGAAGGGTTTTGTCATTTTTTGTATTAATTACTATAGAGAAACAATGTAGAAAAGCACATTTATTTAATAACAAAATATAAAAAAGTGTTACATGGGAATACATTTATACATAACAAAATACGCATAAATACTTTATTTAGTAGTAACATTTGCTTATTAGAAATACCTTTCTTTCTTTGGTAATAAGTTACAGTTGCTCTGTTGTAAATGTTCTTTTGGAGTTTTGGATTGTTTATGACCCACGCTTAGAACACCTAAAAGAAAAAATAATTATAATAAAGGTTTATATACAGGGTCCGGCAATAGTGCGTTGGGCATCTGTAGCTCCTAGAATAAAAAAAATTGGAAATTTTGTTTATGTATATATTTAACTTATATAGGGTGGCTCAAAAAAGTGTGGGTGGATAGGAATTATTATTTTTAAATGGAACATCCTGTATATTATTGCATTTTTGGCTTCCGTTCAGACCACTTTACATAATCTTAAGACATGGTTAAATATATTTCGATAGTTTTAGAGATATTAATAAATAAATAAAAAACATATATTTTTCAACTTCACTTAAAACATTATTATAAATACAATAACTGTCCTAAAATCAAAACTATATCAGGTATTTACTTTTTTTTTGTTTCGTTTCTTTGACTTGTTTATACTATGTTACTAGATTTTGTTCATTATTTTATATAATGACGACGCGACGTTCCGACAGTATATGTCTTTTTCAAGCCTCTTGAACGTAGATTCCTACAGAGTTAAAATTTGTTAAAATTGGACAAAACACAATAACACATATTAAACTATTATTTTAATTGTTTTTGGACATCACACTTTAGTATAGAGCACGTAGGGGAGATCGGGGCAAGTTGACGAAGTAAAATACAAAAGGCTCCAAAACACGAACTAACGGGTTTAAAAAAAAAGATCCCATTTCATCTGTTAGTACATTTATTCAGGTACATAATAAAACATAAAAAACAAAATAAAAGTGTACTCTTGAAAAAATATAAAGAAAAAAACAAAAAAAGTGCATTTTCGTCCAACTTGCCCCAGTACCGGGGTAAGATGACTTGAGCCTATAGAACAGATGACGATTATAAGCAGGTATATGTGCCATCTTTTTTCATAGACTGTGCACGACTCGTGCCACCAACTCTCGGAGGCTCAATATATAGGATTCCTGGCAGCCAGGACAAAAAATGTCATTAGTTTTCTTCTTCTTTCCTACCTGCTTTTCACGATTTTCTTGAAATACATTTCTTTTGACTTTGACAGAATCAACCTTCCTTCTTTTAATTTCTTTTAAGTTTTTTTCATTGTTTTTCCTTTCCTGTTCTTCTTTGTTGGGTGTTGAGGTGATGACAGAATCCCTTTGTTTAATTCTTTTGGTAGTTTTTATGAGACGTGTATATTTGGGAAAAGGTTTCATTTCAAGTAGCGTTACTCGACTATCAACATTAGAGACTGTTTGACTGGAGCTGGATGAACTTATAGTACCAATGTGCTTTATTGTTTTTGCAGATTTTTTTTTTTTTGTTGTAGAGCCTGATGGTCCAGGAAGGGATTCATTGACCTTGCCGGCTGATTTTTTGGAACGCAATGGGGTTCAGCATCTGGTGTTTCATAGTTTGTATTCTTTGCAGAATCCATTTATTCAATCCTGAGGGGCCTGGGAGAATTAAATTAACAAGCTTTTCTGCTTCTAATTAGCAATGCTTTACTCAGGTCACTGAGGTAGAATCAAAAACTGAGCTTCCTGAGCATCAGAAAACGTTCTTCTGAATCTCCCACCACTAAGAGGAATTGGTTCGTTGTTATTTTGTTTTTTTTTATATAACGTCTTAATGTTGCTTCCGGGTTCCATGCTCAATTCAGGCAGCTTTAACTGACTTATGGTCATTAAAATAGAGTGCAACGCGGCAATTAGCACGTCTTCTGACCAAGAGCGTCTATCTGTACGGTATTCTCACCATCTAAAAACATCAAAAAATGAATTTAACTCATTTTATACACAGTGGGGCAAGTTGACGAGTCGACGTCATTTTGCCTCCGTCAACTTGCCCCAGGAAACATTTTTTAGGAAACAGCAAAAATTAAATTATTAATTAAGTGAAATTAGGTTGTATCTTACCTTCTAATATTTAAAATGTTCACAATAATCAAGATTAACTATGAAAGGGGCTTCTATTTTTCTTTAAACCTGCGAAATTGCTTATTTTCTGGAGCTGGATGTTTACATCTAACAGGTGTGAAAAGCGGTTATGATTTTTAAACCCCGATTCAAAAATGATAGCTCCATCTATGTGTAACCCGACGTATTATACACCTAAAGGAATTTATAGAAAAATAAATGGGATTTTTAGGATGTACAGTTTTCTTTAAATCGGTACTTCGTCATCTTGCCCCGTTCGTCATCATGCCCCGACCTCCCCTATGTATTTTCTAGCAAACCGGGGGCGCCGACTTTTATGAAACCTCGTGGGTGCTCATGTAAATCTAACAAATTTCCAGATTGTTTCATTTGTTGTATTTATTACATTTTTTTACATATGTAACATACATAACAAATATACCATAGGAGGAATACCATATCAATTTTACAATTCTATTGAGTATAATTTGTGTTATGCAGAAATATTTTTACACCCATATGTACCAGGACGTATTTCAGGAAAATATGTAAACTTCTATAGGGTGGCTCAAAAAAGTGTCAGTGGACCTGGATGATTTTTTTTAAATGGAACACCCTGTATATTATTGCATTTTTGGATTCTTTTCAGATCACTTTACATAACCTAAGATATGAATAAATATATTTCGATAGTTTCAGAGATATTAAAAATAAATCAAAAATATATATTTTTCAGCCCTTTTAAAAAAATTATTAAAAATACATGAACTGTTCTGAAATCAAAAGTATATTAGGTATTTACTTTAGATGGTCTGTTCTTACTTTGCTATAAATATGGTAATCGTAAATCATACAGGATGTTCAATATTCTACGCCAAACTTTTCTAAAATATAAAATATTTTTCTTTGTTTTTTAAACGGAACACCCTGTATATTATTCTCTTATTAGATGTAAATTAAAAATGAACATTTTTTGTGCAGGTACACAGAAGTATTTCATATGGCTCTCTCAACGGTAAAATACGAGAGAGAAAAACCATTGGGTGGCTTTGATAAAGAATTTACTTTGGAAAATGCCATATGAAATATTGAACCGCGAATATCTACCAAAACCATTAAAATTTTTAAATACTCTAAATACAAAAAATGTTCATTTTTTCAATTCTCCATCAATTGAAAAAATAATATACAAGGGTGTTTCATTTGAAAAACGAAGAAAAATGATTTTATATTTCAGAAAGTTTGACGTAGAATTTGGAACATTCTGTATGATTTGTTTCCATATTTATATCAAAAAAAGTATAGACCATCTTAAAGTAAATATATAATATAGTTTGATTTCAGGACAATTCTATTATTAATAATTTTTTTAAGAAAACCTGAAAAATACTAGAATTTTGTGCATCCTGTATAATTACGATTACCATATTTATAAGTAAGTAAAGGTGCAGACCATCTAAAGTAAATACCTATTATAGTTTTATTTCAGGACAGTTCTTGTATTTTAAGATTTTTTAAAGAAAAGAATGAAAAATATATTTTTTTTATTTATTAATTAATATCTCTGAAACTATAGAAATATATTTACACATATCTTATGATTATCTAAAAGTGATTTGAAAGTAAGCCAAAAATGCAATATCTACTAGGTGTCCCCATTAAAAAATCATCCCGATCAGTCACACTTTTCTAGTCATAGGAGTTAAAATATGTTCACTAAATACATCCTCGTACATACTTTAGGTTTGCACTTAAACAAAATTCCTAGGTTTTTTTATTCTAGGAGCTAAAAAACCGGTGTAGGAGCTAAAAAACTAGTGGAAAAAAACCCCTGGAATTCTTTTCAAGCAATACACAAAGATAACATACATAAAACAAAGGGATACATAATATTTAAAAGCATTACTATCATTAACTTACGCGCATATCTTTTTGTCCCAAGTGCCGGTTGAGCATGGCTTCCTCTTCACGACAGACGCAACTGCAAGTTTGATCATCCCATTCATGAAGACCCGTCTTGTTAGCTTTCTTTTTCACAATGTAGACGTTCATTCTAAATAAAATTACAACGGAAATAATTAAATTTTAAGCCGATGATAGACCTGACGAATGTTACTTGGCAATTGCACGACACCATAATCTACATATATAAAATGCTAATGTTTATCTGTGTCGTCTCTACTGAAGTAACGACTTGCTCTAGAAAGTTGCTTTTTTTACTAAAAGATAGCTAATTGGCTCTTCTAAAAACTGTCATCGCCGGATTTTTTGTTTTTCATTTAATTAAACAAAAATAAAAAGTATTTTTTTTTCCTTATGTCGATGTCGTGGCGGATGCGCCAGGCTTCAACTAGTTAATTATAAAAGAATAATCTACACAGAATAATCTTACAGAATAAAGTTCTTTAATTAGAAGAATATCACTACGGGCAATGGCCAGATATTGAAAATTATTACAGAAATAAACATGGCCGATATTGATATTAACAATTTATAAGAACATTGTTGAATAGGTGATGCTATAGAAACTAAATAAAATAAACCTTTGAATAAGAAGACTAAGGAAGGAGCATATCAAAAATCTTAGGTACACCGCGATGGGCCTCAAATATGGCCGACTTAAATTCCGGTTTATCAGTGTCGTTCTAATTTTATTTAAAAATGTAAAACTATGATGTAGAATTAGACGTGGGTAGACTCAATAATTTGTTGATTTATTTTACGTTGTGAATAAATGTTGGTAGTTATTAAAATTGTTATAAAAATATATAATTCTAATAAAAATGATAAGTTATAATAAGTATTTATTAACACAAACATCCGATACGCTACTGAAGCAGGTAAGTCAAATTAACGTATCTAAATTCTTTGACATCTAATCTTTGACAAGTAATAAATAAAAGCTAAAATGCAAGAAAAAATATATAATTTAGTTAATTTAAGTGAATTTCATAAATGATCGGTTTTACTACACGTATGTATGTATATTATATAGTCACTTACTAGCGAAAAGTTGTTCCATTATTTCACTCAATTTTTGCCGAGATCTACCGCACGCTACACAACCAACTATTTTAGAGTCTTTTCGATAAATCGCGATAGTGTCACTGTTAATTTAAGTTCTGCCACAATTTCCATCTAGATTTACTACCTTTATACAACTATCAGTAGTAGAATAAATAATAAATAACATAAAATCAGCTCCGTAAAGACTGACAAATCCACAAAATTTCAAATCAAATTCAAATGTGTCAAATGAATCGTCAAACAGGACTGTCAAGGATCCCCACCCTAGAGAGCTTTTATGGTGCCTTTTCCGCCCACCATGCATGAATACATGGATAGCATTATGCTCCTTCCTTAGTCTTCTTATTCAAAGAAATAAACTGACATGCTTTCGCATGAAATCTCACAACTTTTTTCTCACAAAATATGTTTCCAACATCACGACATGCCATTTTCAAACTTTCTTTATTGCACTTATGAAACGTTCAATAGGTGTCTTTTTCTCGGGGACCTTACTTTGCGCATGCGCATTCAAAGTTGCACGTATTTCAAAAGTAATCACATTGTTATGGAAACCAACTTTTCATGGTCATTATATTGTCATAATCATATGTCATAATCTTATTTCCATTGTGTAACGACGCTTGTTTTTTGCGTTTTTTATTTTAAAAGTTGTATTAATTACTCTTTTATCGACCGCTTTTATATAGCCAAGGATGCAAGTGTGTTCAGTGAGCGGTTAATTTTAAATGTATATAAAATGACATAAAAACTATATAAAATGACATCGAAAAAAGGCTGAGAGGAATGTCATCGACAGTCATTTACAAGCCAACTGGACGCCGTTTTTTTCGATCATACGGTATAATAATGAATCTAGCCAATCCCCTTCACACTTGCCTACGGATTCAATGAATAATGTAATTTTTTAATATTTGTTACCTTCAATCATAAGAATATCCAAATTTTCCGCAGAAAAATAAACAATTTAAATATTTATTTATTTTAAATTTTTATATTATTTTAAATTTTAAATTTTTATTAATTACTCACTGAAACTATTATTATACACCTAAATAAGCAAATTTTTTGAAAGGATATTTAAAAAAATATAATAACAAGTAGCCCACCACCAGTTTGTCCACCCCCAGCAAATCTTGGCAGGTAAATTTAAGTTTAATAATATAACAACTATACATATAGATTTTTTATAACCAAAATTTTTCATTTTTTTATAGTTTACAATAATATTATTATTTTACATATTTGATAACAATACTTTATACATTTTTTTTACATGTAAAATATATAAAAAAATGTTTATTGCAGAAATTGTATTTCTCTGATTATAATTCCCTGCCACTGAAGGAATCCAGTCTGAGTAGCAATATTTATAGTTTCAAACATTAATTATAATATAGGATATTGAAAATACTACTTGGAATTAATAAAAATAGTTTGCTCTGGATGTGGTACAAGACATATTAAAAGCATTTAAATATTTTTACTGCTATAATGAAAAAAATGTACATTTTATGATTACATAACAATAGTTGTGTATCGACTTTTACCTCTAAAATGTAATTCCAGTCATTTTTTTTCTCGCTTCAGCCTTTGCAGCTATACGCTGAACATCTCACCATACTATAACACAGTTAAAACAAAACAGTTGTCACAAAAAACATAAAAATTCGCTCGGTGTCACCTCGAAATCTTGTCACCATAGTATGGCCGCCGAACGAATTTTGGCCTCACCAAATACGTTTAAATAAAATTTTATTTTAAACGTAAATAAAATTTTATTTAAAAATCTTTATTTTAAACGTATTTGGGCCTCACTAACCGATCACGGGGAATATGCGTGTTACCTGTCCCCTCTCTTTCCTTGTCTCAAGACAAGATTCGAGGTGACACCGAGCGAATTTTTATGTTTTTTGTCACAACTGTTTTGTTTTAAATTTATAAACTGTGTTGTTTAGTATGGTAAGATGTTCAGCGTATGGCTGCAAAGGCCGAAGCGAGAAAAAAGTGGCTGGAATTACATTTCACAGGTAAAAATCGATACACAACTTTTGTTATGTGATCATAAAATGTACATTTTTTCATCATAGCAGTAAAAATATGTAAAATGCTTTTAATATGTCTTGTACCACATTCAAATCAAACTATTTTTTTATAATTTCAAGTAGTATTTCAATATCTGTATTACTCAATTAATGTTTGAAACTTCTCAAATGCTACTCAGCCTGGTTTCTCCAGTGGCGTGGGAATTGTAATCAGAAGAAAATACAATTTCTGCAATACATGACCACATATATTTAAATGTGCGTATCCAAATATTGAATCAAATATGTAAATATATAAAGCAAAAATGAAAAATCTAGTGATAAAAATCTGTATGTATAGTTATATAAACTTATTTACCTGCCAAGATGACGACGAAATGGTTTCGCTTTAATGATGAGCTACTATTACTACATACATATATTTTTATATATTCTTTCAAAAAATTTGCTAATTTAAGTATATAATAATAGTTTCAGTGAGTAATTAAAAAATTTAAAAATAAATAAAATAACACAAAGCTTCTAGAATTGTTTTTTTTATTAAATAATTTTAAAATAGGATATTCTTATGATTGAAGGTAACTAATCAATAAAAGCCCGATGACCGATGATCATACGCAAGTATTGAAGGGTAATGGCTAGATTCGTTAATACTCGCTGTGATCGAAAAAAAAACGACGTCAGTTGACTAACAAGCGACGATCGACTGACATTCCCCCATATAATTTACATATAAAATGACAGCGATCTTCATTTCATAGCCATCGCTGACGCCGTCTTTTTCGATGTCGTTTTGTATAGTTTTATGTAATTTTATATGTAGAATTATATGGGGAATGTCATCGATCGTAATTTAAAAGCGAACTGGACGTCGTATTTTTTCGATTAAACGGTATAATAATGAATCTAGCCAATTCTCTTCACACTTGCTTACGGATTCAATATTCAATGAATAATGTAATTTTAATATTCATTTGTGAAATTGTCATTTCCAAACAAACAAGACGCCGTTTTTTTCGATCATACAGTATATATGTATATACACGTTTAAAATATATGTTATTACATTATTTTTTATTTAATTATACATTATACACACGTTAATAAATAAATAATTATCTTGATAATCAGTCCACTGTGACTGTTAAATAAATTTTGCATTATCGACTTAGATATTCTAATATTATAAAGGTGAGACTATAAAATACAAAATTGTACAGTACGTCTGTCCGTTCTGTAGCTACGGGGTATCCGTGAGAGGGGAAACGATATTCTCTCCATGTTTTTCGTAAAAAAATGGACGACGCGTCCCATCAATAAAAATTCGACAAATTTGCAAGTAGCCAATAAAATGAGTAGGCGGAGCTATTTGCGGTGACGTACTCGTCAAGTCGACGTATAAAATATATTGTTGTTTATTTGAATGTTTTTTGTCCGCATTCCTTTTATAGACACAGATCCAGCAGACGAACTGTATATGCATTACTCAAAAATGAACGATATATTAGTTTACGTTTTAATAAATATTTTGTACCGTCTAGGTACAAGCTAATTTCTGATGCTACGCCATTGGAGAATTTCGCGTGGTGACAACTTGCCTCACTTTCAGCTGCCGTGTTACCTGTCCCCTCTCTTTCCTTGTCTAAGAACAATTCTAATATAAAGGTCCCCGAATTATCTTTTCATAGGAAAGTAAAGTATTCCGTTGTTCTTTTATTTATATTAAACCACATGCATACTTTCTGTTTGGTTTTCCTAAGAATATTGGTATTCGTACGGAGTGACTAAATGTATTTTTTATATAATTTAATCTTTGTGACAGTCAACATTCAATTTATTGTTCAAATAAATGCGTTTTACAATTAAATTTTTAAAATTAATGTTCAAATTTGGCGCGTGGACGCTAGGTCCTCGACAAGGAAAGATAAAGTAGAAGCGCCGCGTGTGCAACATAAAAAGAAGATAAATGGAAGTCGTTGATATGTTTGCGACAGTTTCCATAGTGATTTACTTATCCACGTAAGTATATATGATCTAGGGTTGCGAGCCGTACATTCTATGTTTTTGATGAGATTCTATTTACTTACCTGATTTTGACATTCACACTGACAAATTTTCTTATTGAACTTTTGTTGTGCAGTACAACTGGACTTATTCTGCGAACACACGCATTTACATTTTCTGTCTTCGGGTATAAGAACTGTTCTGCACATTGACTCTTTGCCCGAGTACCATAGTATTTGAACTGATATTGTCTTATTTGCTGTTTGTGTTGCTGTGCATACTCGTCCCATTTTACACGATCCTGAACAATATTTTGTTAAAACTGCACTGGGTTTTACCTTAAAAAAATACTTTTTATTAGATTTCCTCATGACATCATGAGCTAAGAAAAAAATTCGAAGAGATACACAATAATTTAAATAGTTGTAGGACAGTAAGCGAGGATAAAAATAGGGTATTACCTCCGAATTCTTAACATCCGCACCGATTGACGTGAAATTTTTACAGTGGGTATGAGTGCCACCTCTTCTAGAGGGTGAAAAATAAATCACCCATTTCAATTCCAAAAATCAATAAAAGGATAAAGCAAAAAACAGGATAGGATAAAGCACATTTTGTGAGAAAATTAATATTTTCCGAGATATTTAGGATTGAGAATGTTGATTTTTCATCTAAAAACTGAGTATTTTTCTGTCTTTCAAAAACCGTGCGTTTTAACTCATGTAAAGTAAAAATGACGCCTTTGGAATAACGAATCGATTCATTTTTTGCTAATTACCGTAGGTGTGATAATAGCCCAGTTATCACTCTGTAAAGGTGATTTTTTATTTTTCGAAAACTAAAAATTGTAACCTTTTGCCGTAAAATAATGGCGAAAGAATACATTTTTCGAAGAAAATGAATATGATGGTTTTTAAAGTGCTTGAAAAGACCTTTTAGATGATTTTTTAAGAGGTCTTTTTAAGTTCGAGTTTTCAAATTCGCGAGAATATAAAACGAAAATGGTCACTTCATTTTTTCGGAAAAAATTAACAACAAAATCTATGACTAAAATCATAAAAATAAAAACTATAAATTTGTAGGAAATTACACGAGCTACAAATTAACCTCTATACTGTAACAGTCTTGAACTCTTTATTTTTACGAGATGTTTGGTTTTTAAAGCCGCGTATAAATATGCCGAGGCAAGTACGAGACAAACCCGAAACGAGTATGAAACGAGGCTATAGCAAATTCTTTCCAAAAGGCGTACTAATATGCCGAGACGAGGACGAGACGAGTCAACCTCAAGCGGAATTCGTCATATTATAGCCTCGAGCCGAGCGATTTAGCCTCGAGCAGAGTCCCTGCCCAGTCGAACGGCGTTGTCTCGCGGCTATCCATTTTCAGTGGAGCCTTTGGCGAACCCACAAAATTCTTCATAGGGCTGTGCGATACTGAGGCAGTATCGATATTTTGGTATCGGTTGTATTGAATATAAAGTATCGATACTTTAAAATATTGATAAATATATTAAAGTATTATTCGATACCATTCAATATTTTAAAAAATTAATTAATAAATTTAAGTATAATGTGTTTTTTAATTGGATTAGGATCGAAAAAAATCAACAGAAGTCCTTTGTTTTAAATTTGTCGACGTTTCGCAAAATTTATTTGCATCTTCAGGACACTACAAAGTTAAGAGAGCAAAATACAATCAAAAAATTTTAAAAATTTAACAAACAACTTAAAACACATATCAGTGGAATTCCACACATACACAATTGGTAAAACTACCCTAATGTTAACAATTAAATAAAATATATGTATATGTTATAAACTTAAGATCGCTTGTAAATAAAAATAATAAGGGATAGGGCCAGAATATAATCAGGATATTTTCTTATTCGCATTTAACGAAAAAAATCGACGATGGTGGCACTGTTTTCTACAAAAAACTACCAGGATCAGAACTAAATCAGTCATCAAACGATCTCAAATTACTAAAAACACTTGGAAGAAAATGATAAAATACTTAACCTAGGGTTGGCAACTTTGAAAATAAAAAATAGGGGCGAGAGGATAAAAAGAGGCACAGGCGAAACCTTTTTGAAACGTCGCTCAAATGTCGAGAGTTATTTCATTCAATAATATATTTTGTATGTGGTTTGGATATCTATAAAATTTTTAAATAGAGTAACAGCGCTTTCAGATGGAGCGGACCGTACGCGCAGAGCGTCCGCACGGATGTTTTTTCAAGATAGCTCATCCGGAAGGAGCACACGCGAGCCAGGTGAAATTGTTCATATAAGCTCATGGTACTTGCTCCAAGTCGCGGACGCTCCGTTCCATCTGAAAGCACTGTAAGATAAGACCTAATTCGACTTTATTTATTTAAAAAATTAGAAATTTAAGTAATTAAGATTTAAATTATTAATTTAAATCTACATTTAAATGCCAATAACTAACATATATTGTAAATAATATATCTGCATTTCTTCATTTCTAAAGTTGTATATTTTTTCAAGGTATTCAATTCGCTACATTATTATTCTATGGCTTTCCATCATTGCAGCACGCTTATTAATAATTTTTAAAATATTATTATGTATATAATTTTAAATCTAATTCCCAGTTTTTTAAACCTTCGCCGTAATGTGCTTTCTGAACAGGGTTTTTTTAAAGCTCGGAGAGTATTTTTTAATTATTTCTATGGCGGGAACTTTATTATTTTCATATTTGCCTTAAATTAAGTTTCTTAGTAGTCTGGATAGTTCAAATTTCTGAATTTTTCTATATCGAATCGTTCCTTTCTTTGTCGATTCCCTTTATTTATGAAAGTACCGTAAGGAACTTCTGAGAGCATGGCCACCTTTTTCAACACACTCGATTTGCCTCTCTTATCTTCTATGCATCCTATATGTAAAGAAGCTTGTTTTACATCTTTAATTCCGTTCAGCAGAAATAGCGCATAATTTACGTTTGAGCCGTTAATAACTCGACGAAAAGTTCATTACGTTTATTCATTTTTCATAAAATTTTCATGTTTTTATAAAAGAAATCACTAATAAATCTTTGTATATGAGATTTACCTACTTTGGCTAACTTACCTATACTATTTTAGAGAAGACAAAATTGCATCTTTCTAGTTAGGATGCATTATTAACATTATTACAAATAAAGGAAAGAATATTTATTTTATATAAAAATGGGATGTGGAATCCGAGCTCCTTGAGACTCGGTACTTGTTCCATGAACAGCGGTGTTATACGCCACTGGTTAAATAGACGCCCCAATCCTTTTGATGGTTCGCCAAAGGCCCCGGAAAAAACGGAGACAACGCCGTCCGGCTGGGCATAGGCTCGGCTCGAAGCTCAGACCCCGTCCAAATATGACGAGTCAACCTCAAATCCGCTTGAGGTTGACTCGTCTCGGGTGTCTCTCGCACTCGTCTCGACATATTTATACGCAGCTTAAGAGCTCCAAGAAGGTGGTCCTTACAGGCAAGTCAAACTAATAAAACGTAATATCTACGAAATGAAGAGATCCACACAAAAATTGAAAGAGAGCAAAAATATTGCAAAAAAGAACCTTCAATTTTACCCTGTTGCATTTTTTACGTATCTTGCTTAGTTTTTGCAATATGTCAAAAAAATTAAAGAATTTTAAAAAATGAAAAAGAAAGAATTTAATTTTTTCAACTTTTTTCTAAATTTAGGCATTCTAAACTGCTCGAACTTGCAGAGTCCTTTGTTAGTACCTAAATATAGCCAACTGTATATGTATTACCCTTGTATATGAATTTTATTACGCTTAGTTTTTATTTTTATCATTTTAGTCATAGATTTTGTTGTTATTTTTTTCGAAATAATGAGGTGAGACCATTTTATTTTTATCATAACTTCGCGAGTTTTTGAGCTACGAACTTCTTTAAAAAACATTTAAAATGTCTTTTCAAGCACTTTAAAAACCTTTGTTTTTAAAGTTCTTAAAACGGTCATACTATTTTCTTCGAAAAATCTGTTTTTTCGCCATTATGTTTAGAGAAAAAAAGGTATAAATAAAAATAAGATGTTTCCTCTCGGAAACGGTAAGTAGCTAAACCACCAGTGAAGCATCTACGGGTAGAGCTAGTGGAGCTCTATATTCGCCAGTTTATGAAACTCTTACCTCTCCTTCATCAGTATGAAGATGGACCACCATAGATCTTGCCTTACAATGAGCTTGTTTCTCGATGCTTAAATTTTCTTTATTGAATTGTTTTGTACATTCTGCTAAAAATATGTAGCTATAAAACTATATGCCTCCCTATTTAGATATAATATTTAGATAACTACTTATACAGGGCGATTCCTGTAAGTCGGTCATGCTTTCGAGGAATCATAGGGGACGTCGAAATATTAATTCTGATATAGCACACTATGGGTCGGAAATGCCTCTTACGCAAGATACAGAGTGTTAAAGTTTTTGAAAAATTAAAGATATTCTTTAATAGTTTTTAAAAGTTGAAGGTATCGTTATAAAATTTCATTATAGGAATCTACCTAACAGAGACACTTTAAATGTAAAAAGAAGAGGTTTTAGTTTCAACCAGTGGCGTAGATGTGATACGCATCGGGTAATTTTTTCAAAAAAAATAGAGTTTTTTTTAGTCAAATAACTATCTACTCAACATGTTTATTTTTTGTCAATAATGACATGTATTGACTATTTCCATTCTAAATATCTCGAGAAGGCTTGCTCGTAACGATTTTTATCAAGAGACATTTTTTACATACTTCTATACAGGTACGGACAAAAAGTTATTACTCTTCAAAACAGTTAAAACACATGTAGGTGGCGCCCTCTACAAATAGGAGTCGTAATGATATCAAAATCAAATTTCTCATGTCAAAAAACTAACAGACACCAATTTTCATACAAATATTGACTTTACTTCAGAAATTATTTGGAAAAAAACGAAATAAAAATGAAACTTCTACACCCTGTATCTCCGAAACTAAGCCTTTTAGGATATACATTTATAAAAAGTTTTTTACTTCTTTTTATCTGCAGAATATGCTCCCGAAGTTTCCGGACTACAATTCGGACCACCCTGTATATTGATTTCTAAATATTAACAGTGCACTTTAGAATTTTTGCAGTGATTAATGAGAGAAAAGAAAGAGATTTCATATTTTGACCTTATGGCGTTATTCAATAATATTTAAACGGTTATAGGATGTTTGTAATTTTTTTTTGATTAATTAAAAAAATGTACGAGAAAATTGTATATATCAGTATCAAAGTTAGAAAGAATTGTGCAATTTTTCTAAGTCTGCAAATTAGTAATTAGTAATTACTGATACATACTTACTCAGAATTATACTTATTGTACTTTAAAATAACACCTACCATGTAGAAAGTTCTCAGAAGTGACCTGAAACGTAGATGGACCTGCTATATGAAGACCTACGACAAAAATAATATACAAAATACCATACCATCGAAAAAAAAACGTTAAATTTGACATGGAAATGAATCTGAATTAATTATTGAATAACTACTCATAACGATATACATACGGTTTCCTAATTAAAATCTGTCTGAATCTTTGAATAAAAAAAAATTTAAGAAGTCACCGGACTTTCATACTCTGAATTCATGTTCATTTCATACAATACTTTTTACAAGTATGATATTACCTTTATCATATTCCCTTAGGTTGACAGGTATACTTGGACTCCTCATTATAACTTCTGAAAAAAATTTGCATGAATCATATTATCTATCATTTACCTACAAATAACAATGACAGACAACTGTCATGAAACCTCTCGCTGGACAGATATTGTCTTTACTTTTAATTACTTTAACATAGCATCTCCCCGAGAACTATGCACTTAATATTCACAATAAACCTTGCCCCAAAGACGATTTATTTCTCATTTAAATTACACAGGAATTTGCCACTTTTTGCAAATTTTATTTTTCCCTCGATCTTGTTTTCTCGCAGCTATGACAATTACATATTTTTGTACAGAATTGAACGCTCTACAAAAAAGGTCTCTTATAAATTTTCGATAAACCTACTCCTTCAAAAGTAATTCACGGTTAAAGTTAACCACTCGGTAAATTCCTAAATTCTTCAATTTTTTTGACAAAATTATGATGATTTTTGAAAAATTTAATCTATTACTGTAGAAATATGCAGTTCTGAGTTGGGAATTAAGAGATCTTCAAGTCTAATGAAGTTTAAACCATTCAAATATAGCTGATTTACTTTAACAAAAATTCTTTAGTTGGATTTTGATATTTCTTCTTATACTCGCTTATAATCTGAATCACATATTGTTTTTCATCTTTACTTCTAGATAAAATATTAATGTATGCTTCTGACAATTTAACAGCTCTTTCTGCAGTATCATTAACTACTCTCAAATTTTTCATAATTTCTAAGCCTCTCATATATCCAGGATCCTTTAACTAGTACTGTCTAACTGCAGAAAACTTGTATCAATATTAAACCGTGTAAAAATTGTAACAAATTTGAGTTCATGAAATAATCAATGTTTTTGTTTATAAACCATTTAAAATCATCCTGATTAAAAAAGAAGCCTTTAGAAATATCGAACTTTTCGTCATTATTCACTTTTATAGCTTCAACCATTTTCTGCCTGATACTATAATAAGTGTTAGAATAAAACTGCCTGTCATGCAGTCAATTGTTTTTCATGAATCAATTTTTTTATCATGGTATCATAAAATTGTTTTTTTTCAAATATTAGATTAAATTTTTCAAAAATAATCACAATTTTGTCAAAAAAGTTCAAAAATTTAGGAATTTACCGAGTGATAAACTTTAACCGTGAATAACTTTTGAAGGAGTAGGTTTATCGAAAAATTGTAAGAGACCTTTTTTGTAGAGCATTCAATTCTGTACAAGAGTGTGTAATTATTATGGCTGCGAGAGATCAAGAGAAAAAAAATATTTGCAAAAAGTGGCAAATTCCCATGTAATTTAAATAGGAAATGAATCGTCTTTGGGGTAAGGTTTATGGTGAATATTAAGGGTTTACAATGGTCTGTTATTTTTTTTAGACAATAAACTAAAAATCTAGAGAGCGTCGTGAGAGAAATGATCAACTATGTAAATAACGGACACCCTAATGTATAGCATACGTAGTAACATACATATATATACACGGTGTCCCACTTAAGATGGATACAAGCCAATATCTTGGCTTTTTGTTGAGCGATCTTTTTCATTTTTGGCAGGAGGCTGTATGGCTATAAGACGTACATTTTGCCCAGGGTAAGAAATGCGATACCTCATAGACGTACGTTTTAATGGGGTTTGATATTTTTCGAGTCAAGAGTAAACTACCCTTAGGACAGTATTTATTTCAAATCTGAAATTATATTGAATCCTCCTTACCTAAGATACTAGATACTTAAGTTCTAATTTTTATAAATATTGATACAGGGTGTGTCATTAAAATAAGACATTTTTATTTTTATAATTATTTTTTAAGTACTTACGACGCCACTGGGTAAACAACTGGTTTATTATCAATAACCAGTTATAAGTAATTATCAATTAATAATCGATTTAAGCTTTCAGATAGCTTCCATAATAATTAAGATGCGATGCAAAAAAACTAAATACCTACTTTCAATTTATTTTGTTTACTTTAAAAAATTGCTTTTTAAGTTTGCTAATACAAATGAATAAAACGAGTTACAAAATAATTTAAAACCCCAGTTTTCAATGGAATCTGAAATATGATTTTTATTCGTTTTATTGAGGAATATTTAAAAAAATCCAAATAGATATTTAAAACAATCACTATTAACTTTAAAAAATATGCTCTAAACAAAGCTTTTTTGTATCGTATCTTAATTATGGAAGCTATCTGAAAACTTAAATCGATTATTAATTGGTAATTGGTTATAATTGGTTATTGATAATAAACCAGTTGTTTATCCAGTGGCGTCGTAATTACTTAAAAAAAATAATAAAAATAAAAATGTCTTATTTTAATAACACACCCTGCATCAATATTTATAAAAATTAGAACTTAAGTATCTTGGGTAAGGAGGATTCAATATAATTTATCAAATTTGAAATAAATTCTGTCCTAAGGGTAGTTTACGCTTGACTCGAAAAATATCAAACCCCATTAAAAAGTGCGTCTATGAGGTATCGCATTTCTTACCCTGGGCAAAATGTACGTCTTATAGTCATACAGCCTCCTGCCAAAAATGAAAAAGATCGCTCAACAAACAACCAAGATATTGGTTTGTATCCAGCTTAAGTGGGACACCATGTAGATTCCAAATATTTTTATGTTCGGATATGTCCGTTATCGCTAAAGATACAGGACTGTGTGGTTTTCCAGATTGTTTATTTTTATTCTTTAACAACCAGCGATTTTATTATTATTTAATAGCTTACATTATTATTATTTAATACTTATAATTATGTAAACAGTTTGACAAAAGAATAAGTTTAATACAATGCATCTCCAATTTTCATGTATAATACCTATTTTAAACTGAAATGAAATTTATAGTGGAAATAGTTTTAGGGGTGGTATATTTTAACCCCAGAAACAGACCTGTGAGGTCTGTGATTTTGTATTTTTGAAAAAAAAATAGGAAAACATAATATCTTAATACGGGAAAAAATGTTAATGTCTTCTTCAAAAAGCAAATATCTCCAAAAAAAAATAAAGCTAACTATCGAGAAAGGAAGCATCTAGATGATAAAATGGTTTTTAAATGCCTTGCTTTCTTAACATATTCCACAGGGTGTTTCAAACTCACACCTAAATGTTACACCTACTATGTTAACTGTTTTAAAACATTATTTACTTACCAGGAATTGTAGCATGAATTCTCGGATTATTTCTTCGTGCTTTTGTAATTTTCGGCACGGTCATTACAGCCTTCTTGTATTCCAAATATATATTAACATCTTCCCATTTTTCGTTGATACCTTCTTTAGTTTTTTTGTAACATTCCGTTTCATTGTTACATTTATCTTTGCCACTGCACGAACATATACAAAAAATTGTTATAAAAACGATATAAAATAAAGTAGTCTTCCTTCCTACAATCATTTTTTGATCAGGTTCTTCGCGGTTAAGTTCGGAACTAACACTGAAGCAGAGTATCCAGACTGTGTCCATATTTAAATTCGTACGGTAGGAATCAGTGCCGTAACTTCCTCAACGCGTGCAAAATTGGATATTAATGTAAAAACAAACAATTAATTAATTACTCACACAGTAACAAGTAGGTTTTTAGTATACCTAATGGAAACATACGTTTTGAGGAAGTTTTGATAAACATATGTGAAACTTTTAATTTATATTAATGAAAAACAAACAATTAATTAATTACTCATACTGTAACAAGTAGGTTTTTAGTACCGTACGATCGAAAAAAAAACGGCGTCCAGTTGGCTTGGAAATGACGATCGATGACATTTCCCATGTAATTTTACATTTAAAATGACAGCGATATTCATTTCATAGCCATCGCTGACGTTGTTTTTATTCGATCATACGGTATATCTAAGGAAAACATAAGTTTTGAGGAAGTTCTGGTAAACTGCAGCCCGGAAGATTTCCGCAGACGAGCGTTCAAACCATCTCCTCAAATCTTTTAGCCATGAGTTCTGGCGTCTTCCTACTCATCTTTACCCTTGCACTTGGCCCTCTATTATGAGGCGCAGTATTTCGTATCTACCACCTCTCATCACATGACCCAGGTATTGCATTTTTCTTTCCTTGATGGTGTTCAGTTCTTTTTGTTTCTGCATGCGTTGGAGTACTTCATCGTTGGTGATCCTTTGTACCCATGAGATTCGCAGCATCCGTCTGTATACATACATTTCGAAGGCTTCTATTCTCTTTTCGGTCTGTGGATTCAGTGTCCAGCTCTCACATCCATAGAGTAACACAGAGAAGACGTAGCATCTGGCCATTCGAGTTCTGAGTTCCCCATTGAGGTCTCGTCTTGTAAAAAATGATTTCATTCTCACGAAGATTTTTCTCGCTTGCTCAATTCTTGAAAATTTTTCTGGTCGCACTGACTATTGATGTTAGCTCCTAAATACTGAAAATATGAAACTTTTAAACTGTTTTATTTGCGTATCCACCAACAAAGACTAGAAAAAGTGAAAAAAAACTAGTAAACCGTTCACACACATGAAAACGTTTTACACATGATCAATTATTATTGTTGGTCCATCTTTTACTAGAATATTACAAGCTTCTTTGAATATTTAAAGTATCTCATGTAAAAAAGTAACAACATTTCACTCGGTAGGTAGCTCAACAAATTAAAATTGTCAAAGGCCGGTTGTAAAGATGTACTTGAATCAAGTTCACAAGTTTCACTTGTAGGTTGTTTGGATCGTATCAACTGTTCTATTATACAAGTTGGGTCGCTGTCAGGAGTCGGGTAAAGTGGATGTGTGGTCGAAGGAAATTACAGGGTGGTCCGAATTGTAGTCCGTAAACTTCGGCAGCATATTCTTCAATTAAAAATAAGTGAAAAAGTTCGTATAACTTTATATCCTAAAATGGCTTAGTTTATACAGGATGTAGAAGTTTTATTTTTATTTCGATTTTTTCCGAATAATTTCTTTAGTAACGTCACAAACTAACTTAAACAGATGCGACACCTTATGGGAAATTTTGTGTTCAAAAAGACCTATGTTCGGAAGTGCGACGACAGGGCGGCGATACTGTCGATGAAGGCAAAATATTCGGCCAAACAAACAGCCGTGGTGACTTCAAATCGTTCCCGCACTCGCCCCTTCCCTAAGCCTCCATTTCTTTCGTTCTTTCTCGCCTTTAACCTTGCCTTTGATACACCGCGCCGTCTCGTCTGGCCGTCGCAGCCGCCGCACGATTATAAAGTCAAAGCGAGATTGCCAGCTTGAACTTTTTTTATGTGAGAATTAAATGTTATATGTACTTGTATTAGCGCTTTCTCCTGGATAATAATAAATAACTATTACATGATGTTAGGAAATATCAGCTAATATTTATTTGTAAAGTATGAGAAATTTACAAATTTTAACAATCGGTTAAGATCAATACATATGTATAAAGAAAATGACGATTTCTTTAAAATTAAAAATTATATAAAATATCAGAAATATACAATTCTTAAAGAATAGGATCTTTGTTGTCAGCTTGCCGTTTGTATTTAGCTGTACTTCCAGCTGTTAATTTCAAATATTAATCTAAAGTCTATCTACTATTAGCCAGCTTAAATTATCTTTAATTATTTTTATATCCTGCTTGTTAATAGTTTTATGCACTACTATAATTTTATTTGATATTTTAAATTGATTTAAAATTTAGCAGCTGATCTTTTATATAGCAAATAGGTACTTTTATGATACAGACACGGCATATTGTTTGCATGTGCCGTGATACCGATATAGTTTATACAAATTGGTAAGTAGAATTGGCAACAGTGTCCTAGAAAAAGGATATGGGAATCTAAGATGGGAATATTGAAGGTTTTCAGAGGATTTTTAAGTCAGTTTCTTCAGTTGTTTCACATGGATATTACATACATCATTATTATTAGCTGTTTCCGATTTTAATTTTCTGTTGGGTTTTGTTGGTTTACATTTAGTTAGTTCACGGTGTTCTTAGTATTGTTTTAGTTAATTCAGCTATTCAGTTTAAGTTTCTTGTTTTGATTTTATTTAAAATGCTTTTAAAAAAGTGTGCTTTCAATGGATGAGAAAACATTTCACTATAAACTGAAGAAGATACATTTTTTAGATTTTCTAGGACTAAATTATATCAAAAACTGTGGGTGTTTTTTCCGAAAATACCTAGATTTTCTAATACGAAAAAAGTGAATTTAAATACACATACAGTTCGATCAAATAATCGACTTATTAACTACATATACTTTGTAAAAATATTATACTTCTATGCCAGGTAGTAATAAATTTTCATGCCAACTTTCACCCCTATCATCCCCGAGATGATGAATTTTCAAAAATCGTTTCTTCTACTCTATACTATTGCTTCCCAATTATACTTAAGCATATTTGGCCAAATTTTAATTCATAAATATTATGTACTTTTAAACCACATAGTAGTAACGAATTTTATAAAATTTTGCCCTTAATTTTACCCCTTTAGGAAATGAGTTTCGAGAAAACGCTTCGTAAGTATGCCACACCGAAATATCATACTTCTATACCAAATATTAACGAATATTTACAATCATTTTTTCCCCTTATTTTAAGGGACGTATTTTTTTATTGAATCCCTAGAGAAACCTTTATTGTGTAATGTTTTGAATGAACAGGTTTTATTTTATGTTTTGCTTTATAATTGTTCAGCCCTAATTTTACCCTCCTCGGGGATGAATTTTCATAGTCGCCTCTCATATAGTCATTGCGTTACTTAAGAAACCTTTTGAAATTATTAATAACAAAATTATTGTATATTCTTCGGACGAGATTTTTACAAATTTTTATATAAATTTCCACCACTAATTTCACCTTTTTAGGGGATGAATTTACCTTTGTCAAAATATTAAACTCCCACAACCAATTTTTACGGAATGTTTGTACCGACTTTTTCCCTTTTTGGGAGATGAAATTTAGGGATAATTATAATAATAATTATTACGTTGGAACTATAATTATTATAGTTCGTTCCAATGGAGCTGAGAGCACAGAGCGCCTATAATAAACGGAAAACGGAGGTCGGGTGTGTCAACAAATTTTATCTCTTATATTGCAAATGTATTTATATTGCAAATGTATTTAGACTAAGAAGAAAGAAATTGTGACCCAGACCACCCTGTAATCGGAAGTATATGTATAGGAAGTGACTCCGCTGCCGGCGCCGGCTTCCACAATTCGGGAGCATAGATGCCGGCTCCAAAAATAAAAATGTTAACGTCAGAGACTAACCAACGCTAAACAAATGTAAATTAATAAAAACCAAACCAACCCCACCAAATAGCTAACCTATCCAATGCAATCAACACCAAATAACCAACTTAACCAACGCAACTAACTCCACCAAATAATCAATCTAACCTCACCAAAAGAGTGAAACCAACGCAATCCGTATTTTGATTGCTATTAAATATTTACAGCTTTTTTTAAATAAAAACAGCAGTAAAAAATAAAAAGAATTCTAGTTTGGCGTGAGATTTGAACCACGGACCTCTCGTTCACGAAGTGATGGCCTCAGTCTCAGTAACGGAGCCACAGCTGCTCTTGCAAAATTGGCTATAGCTAGGCGTTACTTTCCGCCGTTCTTTCAGCCGTCAATGGAACCGGAGCCGGCAACCATTAAGGGAACCGGCGCCGGCAGCGGAGTCATTTACTAATAATAGTTAGAAATTATATAATATAAAATAAGAAATACATAAAAATACCTAATAGTAAAAAACCTTTTTTAAAATGTATTAATATCTTTTAGTTATTATTAATTACTAGCGTGTACCCGCGACTTCATTTGCGTCGAATTAATAATTTGTAATGGTGATGATAAAGCAAAGCAAGAATTTCCATTAACATACAAACTGGATAAAATGTTCTCACATTTATGTCCTGAGCCTCAGAAAAAAACAACATGGCGATATTATTATATAACTTGGTAATATTTGACAGGTAGTTTCATCTCGTTGGAATTTGACTTTCGAAAAATCTGTTTGCCAAAATAATTTTTTACGTCAAGCAGTTTAAGCAGAATCGTAGTTAATCAATTACCCAACTTTTTGAACACCCTGTATGATTTTTTAAAAAATCAAAATATGTAAAAACAAAATAAATTATGCGTGTCCAAGCGTTTTCTCGAAATACTAACCGTTTTTAAATATCAAATATTGTAATATTTGAGGGGCATTTTCACCCTCTTGGAATCGAGAAACCCCTCCTTATCGAATCTCTGCACCCCACAGTAAATCCGTTTACCAAAAATCAGCTTTAAACGTCAAGCAGTTTAAGCAGAATCGTGATTACTCAATGGTCATATCTTATGAAACACCCTGTATAAATTTTTAAAAAATCTTAAAATACTCGTATGTAAAATAACAAAACAAAATATACGTTTTTAAGAGTTTTTACGAAAAACTCATCGGTTTTTAAATAAAAAATATTCTAATATTTGAGGGGTGGTTTCACCCCCTT